AAATGATGCCCATATCTTATTACATTTAACGAGTGATTCTTGCATATTATATATCCATAGGTTTCTTGGAAACTGCTCTAACAATTTGGATGAAATTTTGTATACAGATAATGTTTTGCAGTCTATGGTTATCTAGATAGGCATTATCTCCGAAAATATCGGTATACGGTTTCTACCTATTCGAAATTAGTTATAAACTAAATAACACATCACAATATGGGTATCAAGTGGAAAGTGTTTCGAAAATCCCCAATTCAGAAATATTTTTGAAAAGGGTTGCCACCTATTTTCTATCGCATATTTATTTAATTTTTTGTTTAGGAAATTGACACACAATATTACTCTTTACGGATGGTAAAAGAAAGCTATTAAACAATGCTTTGCATATGTAGTAAGTGTTGTCGCTTAAGATATTAGTGTAACGTTGCCACTCATTTTCGATTCTGCAAAATTCCTCTAAAATAACTTAATATGAATATCAAATAAGAGGTATTTTTTAGAACTTTAATAATATTTTCGATGCGGTTTGCCATTACTTGATACTGAAACCTTGAAAACTTTAAAAAATGTATACATTCCGGGCAAAGCTCGGTCAACCTGGTGCTTGTGATATTAAATAGGCATACCTTTTTTTAATAAAAGTGATTGTAACTTTTTAGATAGGTGGCAACCCTACTCCAAAATATTTTTTTTATGCTGAGGTGCTTTTGAATAATTATAATATTCATATATCTGGCAACCCTATTTTTTTAAATTATGTTTCCACAAACTTTCTACAGAAAATATCAAGTAGAAAATCCAAAATACGTGCCTTTTCGGATTTTTCATAATTTTTGGACACCTGGTACTTTTCGATGTACCATGGATTTTGTTACTTTAGATAATTAGTTTTTTCACGTTTAAATAATCATAACCAATTTTGAGCCCTTTCTCTTTCTTCTGGCCCACTGTGGATTACAGTGGCTGTTGAAATAACTTGAAGAAAAGACTTACTTAAATTTTTTGCTCGTGGTTTCACAGCTACGCATTACCCGCTCGCTTATATTGCGATGCATATTTTTGTTCAATAGTATTGGTTAATGTTTTCATGGTACTACCTACTGGGTCATTTCTGCTCTTCATCAACAGTGCCAAATATTTTTTGTTAAAATTATATGCTTAAATCCACAGTTTATCATTTTTCAACCCTAATTTTACTCCATTTACATATTTAGAAATTCATATATTTTAAAATTCACATTACTTAAACAAATCTTTATTTTAAACACAAACATTAACATTAACGGTATATATGTATGTTACCGGTCAAACCCGATCTAACTAGTTTAGCCTTGGAAAAACTATTTTGTCCTAAAATCGGGTTTGGCCAGTAACATATATATGTATGTAAAAATAAAATATTTCGCTGTTTTCAACGTCGGTTTCTACGGTATCGTTGCTGATGTGAATGCTTTTGCTGTTGCTGTTGTTGTGTCTTACGCTCTGGTTGTGATTTAAATTGTTTAGCTTTTGGTAAGGGAAAATCATCATTATCGATGGAAGAAGGATCTAAAATGTTGGAAAAAGTTAAAAAAACGGCTTTTTATAAAAATATCTTTGTATATATTTGGTGTAAATTGTGCTTAAAAATGGTTACCTTCTGTGGCACCAAAGGTGACAACGGATTTATGACCGGATACTGGATTATGGAAAGCATTGAAGTTTGGAGGGGAACCTAAAGAAGAAATAATGTATTTTTTTTTACTTTGTAAAGCTTGATGAATATTAAAATAAAATATATGTACATATGTAGGTAGGCATGTATATGTGTATAATGGGGCTATTGGTTAATGGCGGGGATTAGGAAAAATGTAACTAGACATAATTTCATATGGCTGATGAGTTTAACTAGTTTTGAGTAGGTAAACATACAAATAGGGGTTCACATATGAAAATCTATTCTTACTTGTGATGGATGACAGAGGGGTGAGTAGGAATGACGTTGGAAACAACTTCAGACGATTTGGAGTTGGTGATAACATCACCATATAGAAAAATAAATACAATTTAAATGCTGAGTGTACATTACATTAGGCTGGAGCGGAAACAACAAAATTTAGTGTGTTCGAAATTCTAATAGCGAGAGGTTGGTGCATTTGGAATTTTGGGAATGTAAAAATCGAAAATTTGACAATTTTGTTAATCCTAAGCAAGTAACCTCCTTTTGTTATTTTCTGGCCTCATAACAATTTAAATTGATTTTTTTATATTTTTTTTTTTCAAATAGAACATAACCAGAAATAACTACAACCACATGTTCATGCCTAAATAGCGACAGAATAGTTGCCTTTCATTATAGTCGGATTGACTAAATCCAAGAGTGGAAAAGGCAAAAACATTTTACATGGCGCTTAGCTCAGTGGGTAAGCCCACTGGCTTTGAACGCCGGACTTGCGAGTTCAAGTGCCAGCGCGAAACTCTGGTGAGGAGATGTGGGGATCTCCGAAATAGCAGCTAAAACTTCTACCAAAATGTAAGTAAGTATTATTGATTTTCCTCAAAAATTTTCATTAATAACAGCGTTAATTCCAAAAAAAAAATTTCAATCTTAACAAAATTATTTTCAAAACTTTTAGGTATGCAGTTTTGTAGGCCATTAAATTTACTATATTGAAAAATAGAGGTGTTCCATTGACGTTCAAATGCAACGAATCCCCGCTATTCGAATTTCGAAATGCAAATTTTTTTTTTCATTTCTGCCTCACCCTAATGTACATACAATGTATTTTTGTGATGCATTTGTTCTTTATTTAATCTTTTTTAATATACATAATTAACTTAAAAAATCTGTTATTTTTCCAACACAAAAAAAATTTTCGCATGCAATTTT